TCTTGAGATGTGACAGGCGGCAAGCGCTCACATCAGAAATCTGCACAGCAGTAAACATGACCTGTTTCATAAAACTTGTAAAGCGACACTACTAATGACAGCGATAAGTGATGAGTATAATACCACTGAGAGTATGTAGTCGTAAAGCTAGCTACAGCCATGCTAGAAATGGTAGTTCTACGACTACGAATGACATCTGCAAGACCACGGAGAAAAGCAGCAGCGCAGAAGAGTGAGGAGCAGCAGAAAAAAACAATAACATTCGGCATGTTGTTATCACGAAACAAACCCTAAACCCTAAACCCCAAAACTCCTAAAACCCTAAACCCTACACCCCAAATCCTAACAATTCTGCCATGCTCAGCCTCCGAAACACAAACACCACATAGCCCTGGCAAGTCGCAAATCACGTGATATCGACCGTCGTAACACTCGCCAAAACAGCAACGACGAGACCCGAAGCCCAGATCTTATAGAGTTTAGGCTTTATAGCGTTTCGGGTTTAGCGAATTTAGGCTTTAGGATAGCATGTGGAATCCCACTGAAAAAAGCGAAGTACAAACAACAGCCATACCAAAAACAACTCCCTAAAACTTGAAGCCGTAAAGGAAACACGTTCTGATGGAAACACATCAATACATACAATATATATATATATATGTATAGATATACACATAATATACACACATACACATGCATACGAGAGCTTTAAGTATAAACAAACCGAAACACAGGACTATCTATCTATATAGCTATACACATCCATCCATCCATCCATCCATCCATCCATCCATCCATCCATCCATCCATGCACACGTACAGACCCCGAAGTAGAAACAAACCGAAACAAAAACTAACAAACTCTAAACCCTAAACCCCTAAACCCTAAACCCTAACAAACTCATGCGAGGAGCCAAGGACCGCTCGAGCCAGGCAGAGGCCGGCGCAGCTCGTTTCCGGCGGCCGCCAGCCATGGCGGCACGGTTTAGGGTTTAGGGGTTTATAGAGTTTATAGGGTTTAGGGTTTAGGGGTTTCGGGGTTTATAGGGTTTATAGGGTTTATAGGGTTTATAGAGTTTATAGGGTTTAGAGTTTAAGTTTCGCTGCGGTAGTAGGGTCTAGGCTGCAGGCTTTTACAGTTTTGGGCTATAGGTTTTGAGGGTGTCATGGTTAAGGGACTTCTTGACTTGGGGGGTTGTAAAGCTGCGGGCATCGCTAAATAGCTAGAGTTGAGGGTTTGGGGGTGCAGGGCTCAGGAGTACGACCTTAGGCTTCGTTTGCTGTTGAGGGCTTGCGGCATCAGGGCCACTGTGGCTGGGGGGACTTAGCGATGAGGGTACAGCTGTAGGGCTGACATCCTCCCTCGGCCAGGATCTCTTGCAGGCAGTCCTTTAAATTACCCCACTATCTATGTACGTACTCCTTCTTCTCCAAGGTTGTCCATCACGTTCTGCACTCAGCCTCTAGAAAGAAATCCAGGACGCCAGGACGCAGGTATGCACGTCCGTCTGCAGCGCACTGTGACGTCACAGGCAATGTGGCCTACGGTATACGCACTGGTGGAGAAATCGGTCGGGGAGGGCCTGAACATGACAAGATGGGACCTTGAACAGCCTAGGCCCCTACCACAAAGCCCCTGCAGACTTCGCTTGCATGCACTAAGTCCAGCAAGAGTTGGGCGGCCAGCAGCATCGGCATCATCAGTCACTTCAGCCTTATACACCGAACAACTCCAACTTGCAATGCCATGATTATTGCGCGTCCATTCCCTATCCCTTGGAGCTCCACTATCATCCATGTAGTAAGCTACGAAGTTACTCATACAAATATCGCACAAAGCAACCTAGCAGTAAACAAGAAGAAGCAAGGCTGCTCTTCTAGGATCTTTTGGCAGAGCTGAAGATTCAAACCCTCACAGAGTTTCATCGGGATCGGATTTTTTGACCATACTTCCAAGGGTCCTTTGGGAACCCAAACATGCAGCACCCAACCTGCACCCCCAAATGGAAGCGCACTTCTTGTACAGCAGCAAGTTGCTATGAGATCAGGGAGGCTGGGCAATTTCAGGATCAAGCTTTCCATTTCAAAGCAAGATTCCCCTACAAGATACCGACAGCTTCATGAATAACCCCTCTTTGCATCATGACTCGTGCAATCGCCTGAAGGTCTGAGCATACGGAGGTACATAACCCGTTTACACAGGCTTGATTGGAACCCGCCCGGCCAGGTTCCCCTAAACTCTAAACCTAAACCACCCTAACAAAAGTCTCCATTGTATCTCCTTTTTGGCGTTACCTTGGAGGATACCACATAAAATAGGTTGAACGCAAAAAAAAGGACTACAATGGATACTCTAGGTATGGCTCCACCAGACCGGACGCCCGGACCCCTACACTCTTAGGGTTCTGAACCTACCTTTTCAGGGTTCCTTATTCTGGTTTCTATACATAGTTCTTTCTTTTTAGGGTTCCTCATTATGGTTTCTATACACAGTTCCTTAAAAAGGTATAGGTCGTTTCGGTTACAGGTAGGCCTAAACCCTAAACCCTAAACCCTAAACCAAGGTTTAAGGGTTTGAACCCAAAGGGCGGCCTGCAGGTGGTTGCGGCTTTTCTTGGACCGCCTTCGGGGGAGGTGGAGGGCCTTTAGAGCTCTCTATCGGGTTTACGGTTTGCGGACATTGTGATGGTTCGGGATTTTGGGCGGCACGTGATATAGGACTTCTAGGGCTTGCTGCAGGGATTCGGGTTTAGGGTTTAGGGGGTCTGCAGGCTTTGGGGCTGGGCTGTAGGATTCATATCGCTTCAGGACTTGATACATTTGGGGTTTCAGGTTTTGGGGCTTGGGGTCGAGAGAGGAAGAGAGTCCTTCAACGTGCCACCTGCTCCTGCATTGGAGGATTTTCGTTGACAGTGACCTATCGGCGTTTGTGGCTTTGGGGATTTGGGGTTCGAGGGTTTGGTGTTTAGCTAAGCCTTATAGACCCTACTCGGAGAAAACACGTAGGTCCCAGCGCATTTCGTGGCATCCAGAGCGCCTTTGAAATCTAGCGGCGCTGCCACTAAACTGAGATCCGCATGTGCTCTTGCTGAAGTTTGGTTAATAACATCGTGAAAGATCTCAGCAATGTTTGGGAACAGCGGGAATAACATACAAGTCGATAGAAAAGCGGGGCAGTTGAATTGCTGCTCCATCTGCGTCGCCATGCCAAAAGATTCAGAGTTTTCCTGGTCGCGCTTCTGCTACGTTTACTACGTTTTGCTTGAGGGACGCCCGTGCCGGGCCAAGCTAGCCCAACCACATCCGTAAGGCCCTTAGAGCCATTAAACCATACATCCTAAACCGTACAGGGGCAATGTAGACACCTTGCTAATGGAAACTACCCCATCCTCCACCGATACCAGCAAGGCTGTGACGAACTGGTATCTTCTGCCCTGTAAGACCGGGGGTCGATGTATCAGGGTCTACATTGCCCTAGATCTTCGGGTTCATGGATCGTAGATGCACCTAAATGGTCATTTAGCTTATGAAGGGATAGTAATCCTAATTTGGCAGAGCGCTGTATAACATCATTGCACACGGCGTGCTCACGAGAACCAGATTGATGGCTCTCAGAAGCATCTGCAGGAGTTCTGCTGCTCGAGGATTTTTACTGTTGGGAATAGATGCATCCTTGCCGAACCCCTTTTACTCGCAGCTTATTCCACGTTGTAGTCGTACTTAGGCATAACGTGTGCCTAGTGTTTAGGGAAGGCCCCAAACACTAAACCTTTCGTGTCCTTCGAAGCCAAAACCCCAAAAACATTAAACCCAGAAACCTAGCAACCCTCCGAACCCTCCGAACCCTATAAACCCTAAACCCAGTGGCCTTCATGTGTCGTCGTAGGCCGGTGCCACTTCGCAGTACCGCTTGGCCTAGAGTGCCCATTACTTGGGACCATATACCCCGATTTGAGGGTACAAGGAGAATCCTGGAATGGTTTAGGGTCAGGGTTCTTAGACTTTCCACAACCCACAACCCTCAAGCCCGAAGCTCGAAAGCCCCAAAAACCCTGCAGCGCAAACCATTATAGAACTATAGTGCTTACCCAAAGGCCCCATAGTGGGGTTCATATTTACAATCCTATAATCCCACAAACAAACTACCATGGGGAGATCTTGTGTAACCTGCATGGTATGCGGTAGGCAGGAAACTTGTCGGGATGACGGAGTCCAGACCCGAAAGCAACAAACGTCGAAAAACTAATGGCGATTGACGCACCTAAACGCCTACAAACCACTTTGCAACAATCTGCTTTAACCCCTCAAGCCCTAAAGCGCTAAAATCTCATCCAGAAAATCCTCAAAACCAAAACACTAAAACCCTAACCCCCCCAGGGCAGAGGGTTCAGGGTGTCCGGTTCAGGGTTTAGGGTTTAGGGTTTCGGGTCTCATTCTCGCACAAGGCAGGCAAGGCTCCACACAATTCCGTCAAGCGAGAGAGGCCCGAGACCACGCAAGTGCGACCAAGAACCGATCTAAACCAGGGTTTAGGAGCTTCGGATTGGGGTGCTTGCTACGTCAATCTCGGAGTTTAAATCAAAGAGACACTGATGTATTCCTGCCGTAGATAAATAGTAACGCCCTTACAACAAGCCCAATTTGAAGAAACACGATACCCAGCCTCCCGAAACCAATTAATCAAAACTCTTAAAATACTTTCAACCAAGCCTGAGGAAGGCTCCCTTAATTCAAGTCATGCCCACATGCCCTTCGACAGCCATGTGGCGGGAGCTGCTAAAGGCCACGACAGCGAGACCCCAGGCAAGGGTCATCACTTGCATACCTGAGAGTTACGGGCTTCGGGCTACGAGGGCCTAGGTACGGGAATTTGCGTGTTCAGGGCGTAAGGTTGAGGCAATAAGGTTTTGGGTTGAGTGTTCAGGGTCTTCGTATGTATGTATGTATGTATGCATGCATGCATGCATGCATGCATGCATGCATGCATGCATGCATGCATGCATGCATGCATGCAATGCCATGCCATGCCATGCC